AAAAAAAAAAAAAAAAAAAAATTCCTGGCCTCAAGCAATCGATCCTCTTGCCTCAGCCTCCCAAAGTACTGGGGATTATAGGCCTGAGCTGTTGCGCTCAGTCTGAATGGAGTTTTAAATTTAGGATTTTAATTTTTCTGCATGGCATTTTTATCTGCTGTCATCATTCTTTGTTTTCCTTCTTAGTGTTCCATTGACCTCAAGAAAAATGTACTTGTGATCGGCACCACTGGCTCACAAACCACTTTTCTTCCTGAGGGAGAGCTACCAGAGTGTGCCCGGTTGGCATATGGGGCTGGGGCTGGGCGAGAGGATGTGCGGCCAGAGGAAATTGCAGACCAGGAATTAGCAGAAGCCCTTCAAAAATCAGCAGAGGATGCAGGTATTTGGAATGGCCTAGCTCTCTAATAAAATCGTACTTTCTTGGTGGGTGAGCAAGGATGTGCACCCTTTTCAGGGGTAGTGACCTTTACAGTTTGTAATCAGTCTCATGGTCCTGTAGTAAATGTATTCATTGTTTGTCTTCTCACATCATCTTCCTCCTCCTCCCATCTCCTAATACAGTATGAAAAACTCCGTGTTTCAATAGATTAAGAAATAAAAATCCATTGTTATGTGCAAGATAGATTAGGGCAGTATTTGCCTAGGTATACTTGGTAGCTTCCCCAAAAAATCTTGTGCTTTTCTTTCTAAAGAAAATTTCAACATACACCAAAATAAGGGACAGGAAAAAAAAAAAAAAGACAATTGCAACAGTAAGTAGACAGACACTTAACTTTTTTTTTTTTTTTGGAGACATAGAGTCTCACTATGTTGCCCTCTGTAGAGTGTTGTGGCATTATAGCTCACAGCAAGCTCAAACTCTTGGGTGTAAGCAATTCTTTTGCCTCAGCCTCCCAAGTATCTGGGATTACAGGCACCTGCCACAATGCCCAACTGTTGTTTTGTTGTAGTTATTGTTGTTTGGCAGGCCCTGGCCAGGATTGGACTCACCAACCCCAGTGTATGTGGCCGGAGCCCAGACACTTAACTTTTGAGGTCAGCAATATTTCTTTGAAAAATTCTTTCAGGCTTGTTTGTTTGTTTATAGACAGAGTCTCATTTTGTTGCCCTTGGTAGAATGCTGTGGTGTTATAGCTCACCGCAACCTCAAACTCCTGGCCTCAAGAGATCCTCTTGGCTCGGCGCCTATAGCTCAACCGGCTAGGGCGCCAGCCACGTACACCTAAGGTGGTGGGTTCGAATCCCCAGCCCGGACCCACCCAACAACAATGACGGCTGCGACCAGGAAATGGCCGGGCGTTGTGGCGGGCACCTGTGGTCCCGGCTGCTTGGGAGGCGGAGGCAGGAGACTCGCTTGAGCCCAGGAGTTGGAGGTTGCTGTGAGCTGTGGTGCCGCGGCACTCTACCCAAGG